TCTATCTCTATCTCTATCTCTATCTCTATCTCTATCTCTATCTCTATGTCTCTCTCTCTCTCTTCATCTTCCACCCACCTGATCGCTCCTGCTCCCATCCTCACCACAATGTCCATTCTATTTTCCTTTCTCAGTGAGATTTATATGTCCTCCCACTTGAGCCCCCCCATTGTTACTTAGGTTTCTTTGAGTCTGTAGATTGTAGCATAGTTCTTCTTTCCAGATAATACCTACTCAGAAGCAAGTACATACCATGTTGTCTTTCTGGATCTGGGTTGTTTCACTCAGGATGATCCTTTTAGTTCCATCCATTTTCTGGTAATTTATTTATGTTATTGTTTTTAATAGCTGAGTGATACTCCACTGTATAAATGTACCGCATTGTCTTTCTTCGTTCTTTGGTTGAGGAACATCTAGGTTGTTTCCAGCTCCTGGCTATTATGAATAAAGCTGCTATGAACCTAGATGAGCAAGTGACTTGTCTCACAGTCTGAAGGTACTGAGCTACAGTGTATTTTTAAGGGAGCTTTGGTAAAGTCTTGCAGCATGTCTGCTTTTCTGTTTTATTCCATGGAGCATCAGGGATGATCCGTGACAGTTCATTTAATAACATAGGAACAGGCTCTTTTTTGTTTTTCCTCCTCTAGAGATATAAGATTATATGAAGAGCTTAGAACTTATTATTTTCATGTATAACCTTACTGTCCTCTGCCACTTCTTCAATTTGTAAAATGAGATATTTGCCACACCTTCTTCATAAAACTGTTTTGAGGAAGAGTCATTAAGTGTTTTTGCAGATTTCAGATTGCGTCCAGATGTGTTAGTCTTAGGTCTGACCAGGAAGGTCTAGCTTTGTATGTGTAGTGATGAAGCCACCCGACCTCCCAGTTATCAAGGCATAGACAGACTGGTAGGATTGCCATGGATCACAGATACTTTTACTTATCTATTTATCTATATCTAACATTCTTAAAAATCTGTGGGGCAGGGACCCTAGATGTGCCTTTTTAATTAAAATATCTCTATATCAAGAAAACACATCCTAACTGTACTTTCTTGATGAATTAATTGTTTCCTAGTGAACCTACCTTTTGTAAGCCATACCCAGGGTAAAAAGGTGGCACTCTCTTGCCACCCCAAAGGTCCTGTGATCCCTCCTAGTCTTCTGACTTCATGAGTTGTCCATCATCCTGGCTTCTAACACTGGAGTTAATTGTACCTAATTTTTTTGAAAAGGAATTTATAGATCATATACCATTGTATCTAGCTTTCAGTAAACTCTGGCCATATGTCTACTAACCATCAGTGACAAGGTCTTTACTTCCCATCATGTTTATCCTCTTTGGGACCCTCGGGGACAAATGTCACCAATATTGTGAACTGTTTTGTGTGTTTGTTTTTGTTTGTTTTTTGATTTTTTTTTTGACACACAGTTCACTGTGTAGTCCTGGCAAGTTGTAGAACTCGCTCTGTAGACTAGGTTGGGCTTGAATTCAGAGATCAGACTGCCTCTGCCTCCTGAGTACTGGGATTAAAAGTAGTGTGCCACCACCACCCAGCATGGGAGCTGTGGTCTTTAACCACTTTCTCCCTTCTGATGCCTTCCTTCTCCCATCCTTTCCCAGTTCAGGCTTCCCTTTTCTATCATCTCATAGAAAATTCCCACCTCTAGATTATAATCAGGATTTTCTGTATAGCACTGCATGTTTAAACTGAAGGGTGAATATCTTTCTAAATGTGCTGCAAGAAGGACCAGACTGTGTATCTCTGAACATTATTTCCATCTTCTCTACTGTTTATATCATTCCTTTTTTTGTAGCCCAGGCTAGCTTCAAATTCTCTATCCTTGGAATCCTCTTCACTGTGGGAATTACAAGTGTATTCCACCATGTCTGGCTTTTACTTTTGATTGACGTATAATTATACATGTGAACAGTGTACAGTGTGATACCTCAGTTTAAATATGCATTGTATAATGATCAAATCTGGCCAGTTAGCATATCTCACTTAAGCTTTCTATGCTTTTGTTCACAGATCTAAAATACTCTCTTGCAGCTACTTTTAAATATATAATAGATTAATTGTATAATAATTATAACTAGATAATAGATTGAATATACAACAGGAGGCAGAGGCATTCTGATCTCTGAGCTCAAGGCCAGCCTGTACAGAGCGAGTTTCACTGTGCTGGGCAACAGAACTTATTCCTGCCATCACATGTTCTTATGCCAAACCATGCTCCTGTCCCCAGACCCAGGAAGCATTTGAGCCACTTTTGGTTATATGGAATTAACCTCTTTAGATTCTGCATATGTCATGCTCTTTATTTTTACCATATTATTGAGGTAACACCCCCCCAACACACACACCTATATACCACCTGCATCTGATTATTTTTTACCTTTTTATTGAGGTATCAAACCAACATACACACACACACACACACACCCCACACACACCCCTATACACCACCTGCCTCTGATTACTTTTGGATCTGCAGGATACCAGTTACCTAACCTAATGGGAAGAGTTCCCACCCACTCTCTGAACTGACCCGGAACATGCTGTAATATCATTTTTAACTTCTCCTTTATTCCCTATACTGATTTCCAATGTCCCAAGTCCTTGTCTTTACAATAGCATTTTCAAGCACACATCCTTTTTTCCCCCAGTAACTTGTTCTCTCTGTTGCTTTTATTTCTTGAAAATGCTGTGTCCTGGTAACCTATTTTTAAGGTCTTGCTCAAATGAGAATTCTCTGGTAGAGTTTCCTCCAAGGGATTTGCTTCTTCCTTGTGCTCTGCTAGTACCATGCAGTTGACATCCTTGTGACACTGAACAGGAAACTCCTGGTCAGATACTAAAGTGCTCGCCTGCCTCTCTTTCTAGGCTGGAATGTCTTTTCTCCCTCCAAAATCCAGTTACTTGACAGGATAATCACAGGTTATTGAGAACCAGAAAGGGACCAGGGATCTGACCTTTCTCTCTATGCATTAGAAACTTGTTCCCTCTGAAAAGCAAGTGGAGGTAGATACTGTGTCATTGAAATTTGTCCCCATCTCCATGATAGGCTCCCAGTAATTTTTAGATAAATGAATTTAAGTACTAAATATAGTTTTCATATTATCTTAGGAGAACTGTCTTTCTCTTCTCCTTGTGTGTGTACACGTACATAGATATGATTGGAGATGTGCATATGTGAGGATTAGAAAACAACCTAAGGTGTCCTTGCCTTCCCACTCGTTTGGCAGGGCCTCTCTTGTTGTTCTTCACACTGCTTCATATTCCAGGCAATTGACCCATGAGCAAATGATGACCTCTTGTGTATCTTTTTCCAATGTCCAATTAGAGGATTGACATTATAGACATGTCCTACTGCGTCTAACTTTTATGTGGATTCTGGGTAGCTTTATCCACTAAACCATTTCTTTAGCTTGAGTTGACTATTCTTCCAGAAAAATGAAATGTCACATAAAATATCCTCGTATGTTCTAAATTGCAAACAACACTGGTTGAAAATTTGGCTTACTGTGTGTCCAGGAATAAGATTTAGAGATCATTTAAATGTCTCCAAGAAGACAGCTTCTATACCCACCCTTATATAGGGACAGTGTGGCCCTGAACATGTTTCTAACACTTGCCTGTCATGTCCCACTCCCCAGATCAAAAGATGCTGACAAAGCGCAGCCCACAAACTGCATATTTAACACAAAGCAAATTTTTTGTCCCTGGATGAAACAGCTGAAAAGAATTAATTTTCTATATGCTGTTAGAGGAGGGAAAAGCCAATATATTTTTACCTGCTGAAATATAATTACATGTT